TCTGATCTTTACTCCCTCAAAGCAGCATCCTGTAACTTGAGCCTGATCTAGCTACCTAAGCCCTTCCATCCCTAATTTCTCAAGACGTCCGCCAAAGCTGCTAAAGCGTTCACATTGCAACTCCCAAGATCCCTCAGTTATAACCCTAATATAACCCTAGAATAACCCCAATGTACTATAGTAGTCTCCATTTTATTTTCCATCACCTCAATACAGACCCAATAGATACCCTATAATCTCTATATAACCCCTATATATTATAGTAGTTTCCATTTTAGTTTCCACTATCCCAATACAACCCCAATATACTCAGTCCCAGGATGCGAAAAAAGCTGGCAACTTGCCAGACCCTAGACCCTAAACCCTTAAGGCCTTGCGAGCTCGCCGTGCCCTGAGGCCTCGCCTTGGGGAGCCTCCTGGCAGGTATATAATGTACTATAATACACAATAATGTACTATACTACACTATAGCATACCACAAAATACCATGATATACAAAAATATACTACAATATACTACAATATACTATAATATACTACAGTACACTACTATGATATACTCGTGTACACGATAATAACTCCTTTTCTGGGAGATGAGCGAGTCTCACTCTTTAGCGCACCTAAGCATGAGGAAACTTGGATTCTGTTGTGTTTTTCTATGTCCTCTCAGACGGATTACGGCCTTGTTGTTCTGTCGTCTGCCAAGGTTGCCAACAGTTGGTAAGATTGCTTTAGAATTTGCAAGCAAAATCTCACTACATGCTGATATTTGCAGGCACGTTCAGGGCACATCGTTGCTGGTGCAGGGCGGGATCGGCTTTGGTTGTATGATCCTACTTCTGCGTCACTCAGACTACAACCTAGGCCACACTTCCTGGCGCTTGCTCACCATCACACTACTTATCACCATCCTTACCCCGCAGCATGGCTACAGGAAATTTCATGGGGGCTCTGAAAATTTTAGGGTCCCATCTTGGGGCTGCTAATCAAGATTGTGTTTCTTTGTGTGGGCTATAGCAAAATCCTAGCATCCCCCTTAATAACCCCTAGAGTAGTCCCTATAGAATCCCCTATGTAAGCCTCTTTAAGGAGTTTAGACTATAGCCTATAGCCCATGTGGGCATGGAAGAAAATCTGAGAAGCTGAACCCGCCTTCTGCTGCACAGCCCCTGCGGACCTGGCCCTGGCAAGCAGCTTCTGACTCCGCTACTGGAAGTTTAGGGTTAAGGGTTTTGGTTTTTGTTTAGGGTGTAGGGTTTGGGGTTTAGGGTTTAAGGGTTTAGGGTGTAGGGGGTAGGTTTCTGACTCCGCTTACTTGGAGGGTCATTGGACTTAGTAAATAAGGTATAAATGGGGATGATTGGGGTTATTCCATGGCTGATGGGGGTTATCAGTATACTAATTAGGTCCCCGTTCCTGACCCTCCAAGTACTGCAAGTTTACAAGGACTGAGGGCAAAGGTCCCCGTTATCAGCCTTGTAAAGCAAGCTGCAAGGGTAGCTAATTCACTCCCTACCCCTTGAGCACATTTCAGTTGATTGATGTCATGGCATTTTGTGGAAACAACGACAGGAATAAGAGTCCCAATCGTAGGAAGCACTAGATTGTTAAAAACTTCCAACAGCAACAATGGCAAGAACACGGCTACGAAAAGGATCAACCAGATTGATAGCGAGAGGGCAGACAAGATCAGCGACTTCAATCTTAAGGCGTTTAGCAATCTACAGGTCTTGGGTTCAGGGCTTCAGTGCATATATACAGAGCTTGCAGCTTGGGCTTACGGTTCCTGATCTGGTGGCCACTAACTCCAGGTCCACAAAGAAGATTTGACTTAGCTTCGAGCTGTGACAGGCGGAATGCTGCATCAGCTGAAACAGTACTGGCAAACGAACATCTGCATGATCACAAGTAGACCCCTATAGCATTATTGACAGGGCTTGTGCATAGAGGGCTATGCAGGATTTTGTCCGGTGGCTTTGCGCTGACTTCAGCTTGCCAGGGACCCCATACTTCACAAGGCTGAGCGTCCAATAGCCTAGGGCTCTTTTTACAAAGTTCCCGCATGCTCTTTCTGCATTCCTGCGTGGCTCCTGCATCATCCGTGCAACATGCCTGCGTGTGCCAAGTTTATAACTCCAAAAGAGTGCTACTCGTGTAGACACCAGCCTGCGGTTGCTCGGTCGAGGCTTCTGCTCCGGCAGAGCCTGAAGTCTTTGAACAGCACTGGTAAGACAATTGTTTTTGGCAGAGGGGGAGGGGGAGAAGTTGCAGTAGCAATAGCAATTGAAATGCAGCGCCAACACAGCTGCGGAGTCGGCAGTGGCGGTAGCGCTGATTATTGCGGTGGCTTTGGTAGTGGTAGCAGCGGCGGCAGCAGCACCAGCAGCAGTGGCAGTGGCAGTGGCCGTACTGCAGCAGTAGGAGCAGCATGAAGAGCCGCAATAGTAGCAGCAGTAGCAGCAACCGCAGTAGTAGTGGAGAGCATCAAAACCAACAATAATCTTTGATAGCTGGCGAAAACCATGGCCATGACAACGGTACCACAACCCTAGTAGTGATCACAGTGTTTCTCGGCAAGGAGATGCAGAAACAGCTATACTACACTCAAAACCATAACAAGCTTGCGACACTGGAGAGAAAAAGGAGAAAGTGCTCACAACACTCTTCGAATGTGGGATAGCTTGCCTACTGCATAGCACAATTTCCGACTTGAGCTGCTGACTATGACAAGTGCAGAAGAACTCCTGCTGCTGCGGCTACAAGAAAAGAAAAGTAAACCCATGAAAGCCCAAAACTATCGGGGAAGACGGTTACCCCAAGGTGCTCAAGCCACCCGAAGAAATCCCAAATTCCTGCACACAAGCAGTCAGCCAGGGGTAAGGCGATTCCTGGCACTCCACGGCCGGCACCTTAGATTCAAAAACATTTCGGGGCTTGAAAAAAACCAGCGGTACCCTGGGACCTTGGGGGTGATGAGAGGATTGAAACGGCACCCTTCCATAAGGAATAATGTGCAAAATCTCCCGTCTATCATCAGTGAGCAGTGCTCAGTACCGCCCGCAAAGACTGCAGTAACTGAGATGGGGATATAAACTGTTGTTGGCTTTCCAATTATCATGAGAAGCATCATCACACAGTGGTACAGATAGCTACGGAATTGCAATCTCCTGATAGCGCAGAGTGCTCACCGCTTCAAATGCCCAAAATGCTCCTAGTCATGGGACATGTGTACTAACGATAAATACCGCAGAGCTTCCTATCTCAGGGAGCAGCCCGCACGATCATGAGGCTTGACCGGTTGATTGGTGGTGTCACACTTGTATGGCTTTCCGGTAATTGCAGGGTATCTGCAAGTCTAGTTGCTAAGTCTTTCTTACGTAAGGAACCTTGCTTCCCAGATATCAACAGTCCGGGCAGGCCTGTCGAACTTCCTGAACAGTGTATGTCACGCAGCTGGCACTACCTGAAAGGATCCCAGCCTCTCGGCACCAGCTGGAATCAACTCCTTTAAGAAAATTCAAAATGCCCTGGCCATATCTGTTTCCCCCGCTTGATGTAACAAAACTTCTGAAAGACTGAAGTGCGAGCTTTTCAACGCACATAAAAGCCTTGACGTGGGCCACTATCCCCTCTATACCTCTGGGTGCTCCAATGTTCAGACTCGCGAATCTGCTCAGCTGAGTCACCTTTCTCTCCCTTTGGGCGGTTCGTGGGGACCTTGGAGCACAGGGCGCGTTCGCACGTACACCTACATCCCTATCAGGATCCCAGGTAGATTCATAAGTCCTTTTTCAACCAAACTGAAAGTGATGGGGCAGAAGCCTCTCAGGGTTTAGGAGGACGGTTTGGGGATTCAGAAGTTTAGCTGAGAGCGTGGGGCTGATGGCTCTGGATCTGGGACAGAAGCAAGACTACCAGACATACCTACCACACCAGCGAGAGATCTTACCTCAGGGCTTTTGGGGGTCCGAGGGATTACTGCGAGGAATACAAAAATCCCTCCACAGGATTCTTTTGCGAGGGCTTTTTGAAACCTGCATCTTCTGCCTGCCCGTGCAGATGGATACGAAAGTTCAAGGGTTCAGGGCTTTATAGGGGTTATGTAGGGGTTATATAGGGGTCATTTAAGGGGGATGGAAAAGAAAATGGAAACTACTATTTCAAGTTCAGGGTTTAGGGTCAAGAAAAGTAGCCACGCACCCTTCTCAATACTCAACAACGACACAACTTCTAAGAAGAATGCGTGACTCCAAAGGTGGGATCGATTCTAAACCCAGAAATGTGGCTGGCATAGGTTCTTGTACTACCGGCAATATCGCAACCTTTGTTCATACTACAGGACTTGACATTGTGACTTCTCTAAACACCGATCCACACCCAGCCTCAATCTTGAATCCTAGACATTCAAAGCTCTCTGTCTTAGCCCAAAGCGCTAAACTTTAAACCCCAGATCCTCACCCAAGATCAGGACCTTAAAAAAAACAATCCCAAATCCTGAACCCCAAACCCCCATACCTCTAAGTCAGCCCTATATACGTTCATTACGGAATACACCCCCACCGATACGGGCATCCCCAATAAGGGTGTAAGATGTATTCCCTGATCAATTGTTCTATGCCATAAGCCCCTACATGAGCCCAGCTTGCATTTCAGCTGATACTCCTGAATGAACAAGTGTTGGGCTCCCTATAACTATAAGTGTCCCTAAACGACGGATCCCCACAAGTCTTTCTATTTATATACCCCTGCTTTTGATATTGACAATCCTGCACAAAGAGAGCATACTGCAATACCATACTTCCGAAGGTATTAAGTACTTAGTATCATCCAGGATTTTTAGTATCCATCGTATAGTACTTGATCCTAAACCCTGAACCCTAAACAGTGGTTTCCATTGTCTTTTCCATTGCACCTGTAGAACCCCGGAATCCCTGGCCTACATAACCCCTAAAACCCTAAACCCTAAACCTTAACCAGCTCCCTGCGTTCCAAGGCAAGGGCTGGAGCCGGCTTGGTATCTTCTTCGTCACCTGGGCTCCCAATAAAAGTTCGGTGCACCCGCCTAGAGTGGATCAGGATTTGGGGGATTTGTGATCTGGGAAGTTTGGGGTTTCAGAGTGGATCAGGATTTCGAGGTCTAGGGATCTTGGGAGTTTTAGAGAGCTTTTAGATGGTGGGATACGGGCTTGCGCACGGCCGCACAAATAAGCAGCTCAGGTCGCCTGGTCATGCTTGTTTTGATGAGGGCTGGTGCACAATATCCCCCCCAGAGCATGGTTGTAAGAAGGCTCGGGCAAAGGAAGCTCTTGGAAGGTTCTTAGTGTGTTGGAAGTAGGCTAATGCGAATGCCAAGTAAAACAACAACTTATCAAAGCTGTAGAACATGTGCTTGCAAAAAACCAATGAACCTTCAAACGACCATCATGCCAGTCGATTATCGCACTGCAGCTCGTGTGAACATCGGCAGACTAAACTACCAAGTCAGATTCAGGGTACCTAGAATGGTTATCCCCAATGTTACTTGTTGCAGGCTCCCAATAAACGAACAGGACTTGCTTAAGCCTTTAGAACACATTGGCCACCACCAAGCCATCAACTTGGCGCAGTCTCCAGCGACGGGGAGGCCCTTGAGCAATCTTCTCTAGAAACTCCCTCTGTTGCCTAGAAAGCCTTTGGGAACCTTTTGCATCGACCCATTTGGGAAGGACAACCCGTCTAAGGCACATCAAGCAAAGCTGTTAGGGCTCCTGCCTGGCGCATCGGAAGCACGAGGAAGCTCCTAGCATGTGTTTGAGCAGGAGCGCCTATCTCTTGTAGCCCCGATTGAAAGCTACGACAGTCTGCGGTAAGATCCCTTTTCAGATTCTACGTTTGCAAGGGTGCTCGCATAGGCTGGGTGTTCAATCATCACTTCATATCTGTAACTACTGTAGATCTCATGAGAAACAAGGAGGCAAGCGTTCATGAATTGTAGCTACGCATGTCAGAACTGGTTGCTGGTCAGTCAGGGGCACACGAGGTAACACACTAACAAGACTTCATGCTGCCGCAACGTGCCACTTTCATGGCTGCATAACGCCAGAAATACCTCAAAACCAACGACAGCAATGAATGCCTGAGCCATGAAACCATAACCCTAAACCCCAAGCCCCAAACAATCCTAAACGAGCCTACATAACCCTAAACTTTAAAAACGCTTGAAAAATGTGGAGCTGGGCCCCCAACCTTCCCAGGCTCTTCAGGCACACCTGCACGCATATTTCTCTTTCTCCATGCTGGAATGGGGGAGGAGGTGTTAGGGGGTTGATAGAGATGACTGTCGTCCATTGGAATTTGGGTTCTACAAAGCTCTGTCCCCGAGCCATAGAAGTCTTTAAGTGCCATGGTCTTCAATACCTTTCTCAAATGCTACCTAGGTTTCCAGAATTCACCAGATCATCGCGGTAAGGTGGACCAGTAACCTTCTAGCGAAGGGCCTCATGGCAGGGAGAGAAGGATGGCCACCGAGTCTCAAGTGCCGGTGAATCTAAACAAGTTTAAAAAAAAAAAAAAAAAGCTTTCTTGCTGAAGGCACCTACAAGAAGCGTGTAGCGCAGACTCATGCTTTTTGCAATGATTCTGTTCCTAGTGGTTATAAGCTTCTGGCATCAATAAAACATGACCTGGAACCCCCGGCAGGCCTTCCTCCTCGGCCTGCGGCTCCTAGGCAGCTTTCCAAAAAAAAAGGACTTAACACTGAGGATCCAAGTTTAGGATCCGGGGTTTGGGTGATGAGATTTTCAGGGTTGCAGATACGAGGGCTCGCAGGCTTCAGGAACACACTCTCATGGGAAGTGTTTCGGGCCGAGAGATTTAAGGGCCAGGGGGTTCGGATTCAGCGCTTTCTCCGCAACAATGATGTGTGCTTTTAAATAGGATCTCGCGGAAAATGTGGGAATTGGGATTATGGAAAGGCCTCCAAGGACCTTTTGGGACATTGTATATCTTGTCTGGGGATGCTTCAAGAAGATACAGACATGTACAGAATCATCTCAAATTCTTGTGGTTGTGTTTGGCGCTTCTGCAGCGCCCCTGAACGATATTGAGAGTGAACAAGTATAGTCAGCACGTGTTTGAACGCAGCCTTCTGGAAGGAAAGCAGTGGCGGGATGCCGTCATTCAGTTGCTGCCTCCTGACTCGTCCCTGACCGCATCACAAAAACGTCAAGCCCAGAGCCTGAGCCTGTGGCTGACACCTCGAATGCTGCCACGACTTTTTCGTGCTGCTACAGCACGGCAACCACTACCGATATCCGATACCACTACCACTATGGCAATGGTAACGCCCCCATACTGCCCTTACTTTTCCTCCTGCTGCGGCTGCCGCCACTACTACACCCTAGACCCCCAGATCCTAGCCCCTCAAAAAAAAAAAGACGCCAAACAAAAAAGGACGGTCCTGAAAACGCTACGGTACAAATCGTCTCTAACCCCTATACGCCACGCCCTAAGCCTAACCCAAGCCGCAGTCCGAAGAGCGTTCTGAACTGCGGCCCCCACTTGGCTTGGAGCCTGCTCCGGCGACGCCTCCCCTGACTGCTATGAAGCTTTGGGTTTGTCAGGTTGAGCAGGGTTTAAGGTTTAGGCTTCTGGGTTGAAGGCTTCGGATTGTGGGTTCCAAAGTTCAAGTGCATGGCGTGGGTGTGTTTGAGGTAGCGGGAACTTAAGTGTGTTGGGCGACAACTCCAAATTCTCACGACCCCGGTTCCGAACACCAGGTCCTTGACCGCATCTCTGACCTGTCATCCCTTCACCAGAGCCACAACCTCCTCGGCCTATCAAAGCAGAATGCTGCTAATTCTCTCTCATTGTTCTTTGCTTGAAGGAATGACACCCAAGCGCTACCCTTGTGCCTCCTGCTTGCCCTGTAGGGGCATCCGGGGCGGCATCGGGGACGTGCTCCTGCTGTTTGGATATTTTCTCTCCGTAAGCAAGAACCGGTGTCTATAGGTGCGTCCCTACAGGATGACACTTGTGATGTTCAGGAAGAATCAGCCGAACCTCCCGTGTACGGGTCTGACGGCCCTAGATGCGGTACAGGAGAGTGTGTAGTAAGGAAATTCTGTCAGTCCTTGCTGTTGCATAACACACATGAATCCTATAGCCCAGGAAGGGCAACCACAAATGTCCGATCCCTAAAGCGCGGGTACTTCTCACCACTAAGGCACACCTCTACCTCCCAACAGACCGTAGCCCTTAGTACAGGGCATGAAAGAAGAATTGCACCGACGAGAAAAACCCTCTTTTTGTGTTTCTTCAGACCCTCGCCGTAGTAGGTTTTAGAAATTGCTATATGTCCTCAAAGCCGAAACCTTTCAAATGGCTTCACTTTCTTCTGAGGATGGTAAGCTGTCACAAGTTCTGGCAACGTGAATTTAGGTTTGGAAATTGTGCTGACTGCTACAAAGGAAGTGTCCTGGTACTTGCAAGGCGTCCACCAAGCAAAATTTGAAAAAAAGCATATCCGGAACCCCCCACACCGGAACACCTGCCCCCAGCAGGACTGGGTTTGACTCCTTGCCCGCAGCTGCCAAATCAAAAAAATCTCACCGTACGCCCAGAACATGATGTGTTGATGTACCTTCCCAGCCTAAGGCTACGCAGTTCTGCCATCTCCGTGCTGCCTACATAAAGACCCTTATCATATTACAGTTGCATTTAGGAGAAGAGGGCAAATTGCGTGCAAGTTCAGCATTGTCAAGGCCCGAGCCAGACTTACGCCGCTCGCACCGCTCGCGCACGCGCCCCTGGGTCGGCTTCCGGCTGGTGCACGGCGCGCGGCGCGACCAAGGGGCTGCGAATAGACCAGAAGCCCCAAACAGGAGATGTAGAGCTCCAACGATGCTGATGCTGGCCACGGAGGCCAGTTGCATCAGCATCATCGGGGGTCCACCTCACCTGTTTGGGGCCAGAAGCTGTGCAGTTCTGCCAATCCAGTGCCTATGAAATGCTAGACGTTTGCTTCAGAACCCTGAACGCAAACCTTGACGCCTGCACGCCAGCCAAGCCCCAAACCTAAAACCCAAAGCCCTGGACCGAAAACCTTAACCTTAGACCCTGGATGCTGAGCCAGCCTCCACAAGTTCCTGGCTGACACCTGCATTGAAGTGTGCATTGTCACCACTCAGAGGTCGGCAAAGTAAGGGGTGCTCAGGGATTAAGATGCAAGTATTGGTAAGCCACCTTGGGCATGCAGGTCTTTGCAGGACAACGCTCCAGCAATGTGCCTGTAGAGCAGTCAACTCCTCTGTGCTCAGGCTAGAAAAAGGCAAGGAAGAAACGTCCTGAAGATTCATGTCTCCTGTCTCCATAAACTTCTGTAGGCCTAGCAGAGCGCACCTGTCCCCCAGCGTGCTTTCTGTGCTCCAAAGGGTCTGTGAACCCTGGCAGGCTCCAAAAGAGGATCCTTGTACACAAATGTTCAACCTTCAAAGGATGCTTTTCACCACAACCTTCCAACAAGCCTGTGTTCCTGCTTCTGACAACGCCGATCGCCTGACGTATCCCAAAACCATATCAATGCCTTATGGGGTCAAAAAACATAAATCATCACTATTACAATGATTACCACAGTGAATACTAATATTCTATTATTGCAATACCCCGATATAGACTCCAACTATAATCCTTACCATGGGGACCCCCAAAATGTATCCCTAATTTTGGGAAACTCTCAAGTTGACGATTCCCGCGGAATTCTGGGCACCTGCATCATCCTCAGTAGCTGCGGGCTCTTCCTCAGCAGGCAGAGGATACCCAAGGGCTCCTATGAACTTCCTTGTTGGGTTTGTTATGCTTTGCTGGCAGTATACTTTGAGGGTCAGGGGGGCTTAGTAAGTAGGTTAATAATCCCTATAGCCTATACCCCATATAGTAACCCTAGCTGTCTTAACTATTAACCTACTTACTAAGTTCCCATGACCCTCCAAGTACTACCCAAAAAAGAACTACATAGTTGGTTCCAGAAGTCCTGAACGAAGACTTCCCGGATTTAATGTAGAGACCTACTACCGAAACAGAATGAAGGACTTGAAGCATAGCTAGACCAGCGTGTACGATTTCTAATCATTTAAGTTCCGGTCTTTGAGTACAGGGCGACTGTCCCAACCTATCGCAGATCTGTGACAATGATGCTTAGGCAGACCAGTCCAGACCCCTTGTATCCCCTCAATTCTTGCTATGCGTTCCAGCAGCTGAGCGACTGGAGACATCCGAGCATTCTGGGCCTTTGTTTCAACCCTTGAACTGCCTGCCTTGCCAAAGCTTCTGGGGAGCCCAAACCTCGATCCTCGACCATGCTTACGCTCAGTTTATGATCTCGAAGAAACCCTTTTCCTCATCTAATTCCGCCTGCACTGACGACCCCCTGTAGAAACATGGGAGCGAGCAAACAATTAGCACCCCCATGACTACAATCCCTATCGTATAAAAATTCTCACATGAAGTTTCCATTTACATCACCCTGGCAGCGGGTGCCCTTGGCCGCAAGCTGAAGTCTTGAGTTGCTGGTTGTCTCCTGCATACAAGGGGCATGCTGGGGTGGGTTGAATGCTTTGGGGCTGGGAGTTTAAGGCATCAGGGTTAGGATTATTGGTTCTGATGACTGAGTGTTGAGTGTTGAGGTTACGAGTTGAAGGTTCCTTGCTGATGGGTGAAGGGTTACAGGTTGAGGGATGACCACACGTGCACGTAAAACTCGGTGTTGTTTCTTGCATGGCAAGAGCGACCAAAGTTGAGATGAGTTTAAGTCGTTGGTCTGGATCCCGTCAGTTTCTCAGAGTCTCTTAAGGCATGCTTCGCTCATACGAGGTGAAAGAACAAAACCTGGAAGGATTGGACTGGAGGGGAAGGGCCAAATTACCAGACTCTTCCCAAACCTAACCCCAAACATTGCACCCCAGATTACGAACCGCATGACGGCAACCAAAAACTGCAGACCCTGTTCCCTCTGCTAAATGTGCTCGAAGAATACATCTCAAGTCTTCCCCAAGCGCATGGAGTCACAAGAACATGGGTGTTCCTAGCATAGCGCGGATGCTTGCAATATCGATGATTATGAGAGCCCCGGCAATGTCTTTTGCCTGATTCTCAAATTAATACTGCTCCATGTGGATCACCCAGAGAATTCAGCCATTTTACGATGAAAGCAGTCTCAGATCGTCTCAATCCTAATCTCTGCATGGCCCTGTATATCCAGAGACTTCCATCTGCACGCAGAAAAAAAAAGGCACACACAATCCTTCCAAACCCGCCACAACTAGTATACTCTCTGCACATGGAACACCACATGCAAATCGTGTCGGAAATTTTGTGGCAGATCCAGATTAGTCTAGACGAGGGACTCTAGAAACCAAAGCCCAGAAAGATTTGGGATTTACGAGGTTGGTAGGGTTGAAAACGGTTTATAGCGTGTGCCGGGCTTAGGAACCCAGAGTATGACCCCTTACAGAAAAAACTTCAGCACAACGCAGCATGGGGCCTGGCTCCGGGCACGCCTCGTCTTGCTGGGGTTCCTCGGCCTTTGCCGCCATTTTGGGGGTTAGGATGTAGAGCTCGGGGTCTGGGATTGGGGGTGGCGTCTTTTGGTTTAATGTCTTGGGATTTGGAATTAGCGGTTTGGGCCTTTGGGTTTAGGGTTTTGAATGGCTTCGTAGGGTCGGCATAAATCATAGATGAAGACTCAAAATACTAAGGTTTCGGGTATCATCATACTGGGGGAATGAAGGACTACATTTTTTCATGCCGTAATTCTGTGAACGGGCCCGTGCCCCTTCATGGACAGCGAACCCATCTCCGAAAGAGAGAGGCACTGTCTAGTGAAAGGATTCTGCATCCTGACTGTGGACCCTGTAATCCCCATGCATAGGCTCTATAGCCACTGCAATGCTAAGCCTATAGAGGAATTCCAGTCCTTCTGACGCACCAGTATGAAACAGTTTTGTGCGGTATGGGAAGCCCTTCAAGACAAGCCCAAACCATTCTTTACTAATATTCAAAGCATCCTTCCTGAGGACACCCTGAGGACACACGTACATAGAAAAGCCCACACTGCTGCAGTCCTTTACCAATCTTCACAACTTCTCCAAACAAAATGGAATCTGACACAGCTCCCTTGTTGACCACTTACCTTCTAATAGAGGAAACCATCCCTCTATATGGAGCTCGCTGATTGTAGAGAAGAAGAGTTCTCTCTGCCAAATGCCTATTTGTCGGTCCCCAGTATGACAGGCATGCTATCTCTGGAAAAATCCTCTACGTAACCGACAAACTTTGCCTGAGACTCTTTGGAACCCCATGAAAGACGCTCGTGCTCAATGAAACCGTTTGAGCCTTCACAACATCAAGGAACAGAGCAACATGGCTCATAGAATTTGCTACAAAAGCCCTACGCGCCTACACACTTCCTCTACAATTCCCAAAACCAGCCCACTTGGGAATTGCCCTACATAATCCTTCTCAATCCTGAACTGGGACCCAATAATCCCTTTATAGCCCCCAAAGTTTAACCCCTATATAATCCCTATAATCCCTGTAGTTTCCATTTTATTTTCCATTGTCCCAATATACCCTAAACCCTAAACCCTAAACCCTAATATATCCCTAATATAACCCCAATAATCCCTATATAACCCCAATATATACCCCATTATACTATAGTAGTTTCCATTTTCTTTTCCACTATCCCAATATACCCTATATTACCTGATACTATCCCAATATAACCCCAATATACCCCTTCAGAGCGCCCAAAAAACCCTCCAAGCCCAAAGCAACGTCCTGCGGCACCTCCTTGGCTTCACCTCGCAGCTTCGCTGCTTGGGAGAAAAGAATGCAAGGGATTAAGGGTTCAATGGTGGCTGTTTAGGGTGTAGGGTTTAGG